GATAAGGCTTGCGGCGAGGACTTTGGTAGCGTTTTTATACTCTGTTCAGCCACATTTTGTCCAGTGGCGGACTCTCAATTCCGCGATGAGTTCCTACTGTTTCGGTCGCCTCCTACTCGGCAAATGTCCTAATACTCTATCTCTATGCAGCAAACCCTCCACGCCGGCTGCATCAGCGCAGGTGCCGCTTTAACTAACCAGACAGAGGTTGTTATAATGCCCGATATTACGCATGTGCCGTGAAGTCCGCCGCTGCCAATGAATGAGACAGTACAAACAGGTGAAAAGACGAGCGGCTTACTTATCTCGCCGAACTTCGGGTCGGGATTTTGATTCGGCAAAGTGACTTTATTCGATGCTGGAACGAAGCTCCCGGATTCTGGTTGGGTCCCGTCTTGGCCATAGACGCCTTGCTTAACCCCCATTAAGCCCCAAAGAGGCTTATTGCAGGAGTCGTTCGCAGCCTAGCTCTCGATACTGCCTACCTTAGGTGACATCTCTCATGCAGTTTTACTGCTGCAGTTGTTAAATTCATGCTTGCTAGCCTGTTGTGAGAGGAAAACAGATTCCAAGGACCAGCATCCGAAATTACCCATTCACACATATGAATCTCGCGCGACTCACTCGATGTCTCCAAGACCTTGTGGTTCAAAACTAAACTATAGCTTCGCACACACCGAATACCAACACTCCGGAAAAAAAAAGAAAGAAAACAGGGAAAGGTTAATCATAATGTCCATTTCGTCCTCCGCAACCTAGCCAGGCTCCTACCAGCTGCTCGTTATGAGGCAATACCATTCGTACCCAGCTTATTTGGAATTGAAAATTTTATGAAACTCTGGGGGGAAATGGGCGAGGATGGGTGACGTTGATGGAGCCCCCTGAACTGGATTTTGAGCTCCTCCATATCGTCCAACGCTAAATTATATACCGGGGAGTCAGAGAAAAGCGCGATCCCCGGGTGCAAAATCTCTCGTGTCGTCTTACCGTCCCCGCTATCACTCTCAAATTCCCCAATAACTTGGGGAAAGAGGGCGAACGGTTTCGGCTTCTTGCACTGTGGGCGGTTCTTGTTTGGCTCAATGTTCTGTTCATTTATCAGAAGTGATTGCTGTGTGTCGACCTGCCATACACCATCTGATGGATCAGGAGCATTGTTAATGACAATTTGATCGCTATTGTTCCGTTTGGTCTTCCAAATGTTCAGAGCCACCGCGAAAATTTTCTTCAGGTCGTCGACAACTTGATCCCGGCTATTTTTGACCAAGGATTGAAGCAGACCAAGCGTATGCTCTGCGAAGCGCTGCGCATACGTGTCAACGGAAAAGTCCGGAACTTGGTCCAGCCCTTTGGCAGTAATGGTCTTCCAAACTGTTCGAACAGGAGGATCCAAACTTGCGGAGATATTTTGCAAGAACTCTGCCGCGGTTGTTTGGCCTTCTTGAACAAGCAACTGACTTTCAAGTATGAGGACCACCCGAGTGGAGATGAACTGTCGAACAGCGGCCTTTCTCATGTACTTGGAGATAGGTGCAGCCGACAGTGAGGTATACTCAAAAATTGGGCTGGCCTCCGAGAGCTTTTCATACTTGCCCAATGAGCCGACGATCTAATTGCAGTTCAGAAATTGGCCTGAAAAGGACTCGGCGTTGATGATGGACACATACCTCGATATTTTCCGGAATCGCATCGAAGTATCGCTCAGCGAAATTGTTGATATCCTCAGACAATTCGCGGAGGCGGTCACGGCTTCAAAACAAATCAGTATAAACAAGAAGTCGGCATCAAAACGTCCAAATTTGACATACTAGTTACTAGGGGACATCTTGGCAACACCAAGATGAGGTTCCCAAGCGCTCAGTCTAATTTTCAACTCTGCATTCTCGGCACGGAGCGATTTCTTTATCAGTTGGAGATCATGGATCTCATCTTTCAGCGCCTTTTCCGAGGCTGAGGACTGTTTCTCGAGCATCTCTTTGTCGGCTTTCAACGTGTCATATGCTGCCTTGATATCTGCCTTTGCCTTTTCAATTTTCTTTTGAGAGGCTTTGTCGAGTTCCTTCTCCTTCGCCTGTAGCTTCTTTCGACTCTCTTCCTCCATTCTCGACTTCTCTTCCCCACGAGCCCTCTCTAAATCTTTCTTTTGCTTCTCCAGCTCCACGCGTTCCCTTTTTGCAGCTTTGACAGCCTTTTCATTCTCAGACTTTTGCTTTTCGAACTCAGAGATCTTTTCCTCAAGTTCGCTTATTTCTTGTTGTTTGACCTGCCAAATTGTGCAGATAGACCTTTGAAGCGCAGAAACATCTTTCTGCTCCCTTATTTCATCTGCATAGGTTTTCTCAATAACATCCAGGTCATTGCTAAATCCAGGCTGTCCGAAAAGGCTGAGGATGCTGCAGAGTCTCTGTGCCACACGACTAAGATGTGCTGTGTCATCACCCGAGCCATGTTCTATGGCAAGGCTTGCTGGTGTATTTCGCGGCATCTTCACCAGTTGTGGTGTTAGCCCACTTATTTCATAGAGGAATCATATACAGCAATTCTTACTGCCTTGTTTGAGTAGCCTGCTACCCAGTGGTGCCGAGTTTTATTGATGCGGAAGTGGCCCACCACGTTATCGAAGAGAGACTGGGTCCTGGACACAGTGCGATCACGCTCAATAGAGAACCTGTGGTTGGTTTTGGGCAACTTGGTGGTTGTCTTGACCATCTGGTGCTAATGCGGAAAGGCCTTCATGTTCTAGCGATCGAGAGATGGGGGCCGCCGCGGTGCCAGTATCCAGCGCTGGGCAAATATATAATACCTCAGAGCATTTGCACCTTCGTTGCTCGGGTAGGTGACGCGTCTTAGTGCCATTAGGAGATCAATCAAGCCATACACTGTTGCCAGCGTCGTTCAGCGCCCTGCACGCAGAGCCAAGATCCAAGGGTTATGGTCCAGTTATTCCGGCTGGAGTTTGGATCGTGGATGGCGGCTTGCTGAGGCAAGTTTACGGGGAGAAATGCTCTCTGGATAGATATGCAAGACAACATATTTGGAAAGATCTCAGCCTGCAGACGCGGGGCTACAGGGTTTCAACTGTTTTTCTGCCCGGTCATCTGCTCTGTTATGCAGATGAGTGGCTCTGATGCAAGTGCATGGTGTCCTACTACAACTATGCTCGATGCTGAAGGGAGAAGGAGCCCAGATGATAGAAGGCAGCTGCATGAAGGATTGGTCAGGGCATGCATAAAGAGTTGGCTTGGCCCCCCGATCCCGAGAGCCTCGCAGTCACGAAAGCTGCACGAAAGGGGTCCGTACTTGAACCCGACTCGAAGGCCTCTCAAAGCTCAAAAGGCGCCCGCCGATTCGCTAATTGTGTGATACCTCGCCGTCCCAAGTTGCTGGCTAGTGACCAATAAAATACAAGTCCAGATGCTGGTCCGCCCGTTCCCCCGAGACCCATACTTTAGTGCAGCTCACCCCACAGAAACGGCTCTAGGGGTCCAAAAAGCCGGAAGCAGTGGTTTATCAAGAATCTGAAGGAATTCCCACAGCAGAAGTTGCGAATTGGGAGCGATGCATATGAATGGTCACTAGAAAGAGGTTGAAGGCCGCGACAGTCGAATATGTGACCCCATTGGCAGGTTGGTCCTTCGCTTCCATCTCTCCTGCAGTATTACTGTGGCGGCAACATGCTAGGCTCCGAATATCCTCCTCCGACCAGCATCGTCTGCCAAGACGCTTTCCTCATGGAGCGGACGTCTTAGTGGTCTGGGTAGCAGGGAGGGGGACTGGAACTTGAAGGCCCATGCACCAGTGGCAGTGATGTTTCGTTGTATGGGCCTTTCCAATAATCTCAGTCCACGTCGTGCGGCGTAGACACGTAGGTAAGATCTATAAGAGAGTTCTCAAGAGATTCCAACTGTGTTGAATTCTTTTCCATAAAGCCATTCTTTCTAATTTAACAATTCTTCTTTAGTACTTGATTTTCTCTTTCTTATAAATCTGTTCAAGCTTCTGAGGACATTATGATATAAAATCTGTACTATCTGAATGATGCAGCAATGAGCATGAGAAGCAAGATGATGGACTTGCAGCATTGAGCTTTCAGACAGTTTATCTTGAAATGGCTGAGCTGTTGCAACATTAATGGGAATAAAATCACTAGAACCATTCTGATTTTGGAGAATTGATTCTCTTAAAGAGGTCGCCGCCATATGTTTTGGTCCTTCAGTAGTTATAGGGGTCTCTCCCAAGCCTTCAGCACTGCTTAGTGGTCCTTAACTTGTAGGGCTGCAGAGACCAGAGAAAAGGCAAGCCTACTTCCCTGGCACCCGACTTCACGTACCCCTGTAAGTTCCCGTTGAATACCGTTTAAGCTTGCTTTTGAGCTGATCACCTACCAGAGCATGCAAAAGTCCCGCGGCTATTCGCATGGTGACGACAAGCAGTGGCACAATGGCATTGCGAGGGAAGTTCGGAGGGGAAGCAACGGTGGACGCTCTGTCTTCATTGCTTCAGAGGAACCTCGTTGCGAATTGTTTCTATATGCAAACTCAAGTATCCCTTTCAATCGTTTGTAAGAATTGTCCATTTCCTTCAATTTGATGGCCAGCATTAAGGTTGTTTCAGACAAGCAGGTGCCCTAAATCTGTGAAGTCGATTTTCAGCTCCACTTATGGGCGCCCTGTTGTTCTATAGTTTTGATATCGGACTCCGAATAAGGTGGGATCGGATGGATATAGTATTGACAAGTCTCATGCGAAGAAAGAAGAAAGAAGAAAGAACTTGATTCTATCAAAATCTTTGATAACAGCAATAGCAGGGGCAGAAAACAGTTCATTTGGAACAGCCGCAGAAAAGAGTACTTTGAACATTACAACAGAAGTGGCAGACATTTTATCATTAATTAGGAGGTCCCATGTAGATAAAACGACAGCTGACAACTCCTCTAATCAGGTCTCCTCCATTTCCGCTCTCAAGGACTCCGCGTCGCCACCAAATAAAAGCTAAACAACGCAGTTAATCTAGAAAAAAACCGACTCGAACCCCGTCAAAGCGCGTTTCTGAGACCAACATTGGCACGAGCAGTCGCGTTTCCCTTGGCCTGAGGCGCAAAGCCCACTCTCAACTTTCCATAGTCGAAAACCACATACTGGCTCTTGAGAAACATTGCCCCGAGGACCGCGCCGTTTCTCGCAGCCTGTATGCCTCCAAAACAGTCATTATTCAGCCGGGGGGTCGGATTCTTATACCGAATATAATGTCCGGGTATGGTGGCGGTGTAATGTTCGTTGATCATCAGGCCAAGGTCCGGAAGGCTGGTATTGCAGGGGAAGTACCAAAGTCTTCCGTTGTGGAGCTTTGCGTTGGGGACTTGTGAATAGTAGGCGCGTACGACCTGCTCTGGGAGAAGGGCGAGAGTGGTTCCGGTATCTTCGTGAAAGAGTGAGTTAAAAGCCGGTGTCTAAGGTCATTTGGTGCTGGGAAAAGGGGCCTTACCTGCAGTTCCTTCGAAAGAAAGGTGAATCTTTGGGCCGTTTCCGACTTGATAACCGGCTACTTCAATGGACCAGAACCCGTCTGTTTTATTCACGGGCAGGTAGTTAAGTTCGCCGGTATACTTTTGTCTGTCAATGTATCCGACATCATAGCTCCCCGGAGCGCCGTGTTTCAACGACGCCGCGAACACCGGAGCTGACAGATGTGGCATGGCATTTTCGAAAAAGGTCCGTTGCTTCACAGGGTTAACTGCACAGTGATTAGATAACAAGGCTCCTCAAAAGATGCTACGCGATATACATACCTCTGTTGAGTGTGCCAAATGCAAGACCCATGATGCCGCTGTTATTCCTATCGTCAACCAGCGCAGGAGAAACACTCGTGGCGGCTTCAACTGCTTGCTGTCCAACGGAAATGCTGCCTAGTGTTACATTGTCTCTAAATACCTTGCCGAGGGCAGAAGTTCCATCTCCATACAGAATCTCCCAGGTATAGTTTTTCAATTCAACTGCACTGAGGCTCGGAGTGTAATAAGTGTGCCCTTCTCTTTGTTCCTTTGGCAAAAGCGAAGAAAAGACCCAGCTGTATAGGGCAAGTTAGCCAACTGCGATCTCCAGAAGTCGCCAGCAAAAGCCTAGAGGTCCATGCCACTCACAGATCAGCAGAACCAGTGTCAATATTGACGAGCATCGTCTGGCTGCCAACTCTGACGGGGCTGAGGAACGATTCATCGTCGGGCTCTGGAATTGCAGGCACAGAGCTGTTCGTGCGCGAAAGATAACGCGCTGCCAGAGAGTGATCTTGATAGCCATACTTGCCTAACGCTCGCGAATAGAGATCTTCTGGAGAGCGAGCAATAGGTTTTGGGTTCGGAACTTGCTTGATGGTGAAGTGATAAGTCCCATTCTCGGACAAAACCGAGTGAATACAAAGCGAAAAGGTCACAAACACGACGATAAGCTCCTTGATACCAGCCATAATGGCGAAAAAGTAAAACAGAGATTCGGCGTAATTGTGGTTGAGAGCACCGAACCAAAGAAGCACAAGATTAAATGAAAAAAAGAAATGGGGGAAAAGATGAAAGAAATGGAAATTGAGAGCCCAAGTGAGGGATGGGATATGAAGAAAAAAGAATCAGACACGATATCCTCCAGCTAGCCAACACTCGACTGAGTAAGAATTTTTTTCACTCTGGATGGAGATGCCTTTCTTCATTCAATATCCCCATAATGAGAGAGCTCTCAGCTCTCTGCAAAGCACAGGTTCATGCGCTGTGGGATTCTCCCATTCTCTATGCAAGCAGAACCTCCATCTTGTTTCAAAATGCCGTTGGTTCAATGCAACCAGTCGGCAAGTCGCACAATGAGCTTCTGAAAGGGGTTTCTTCCAGCGCTGGAAAATTTTGTTTCGAGATATCGGTTGAGCGAGCCAATGCTGCTGAAAAGGCTGCCTGCAAACAGCTGCTTAGAAGATCATGAAGCGAAATTGCAGCCAAAAGCCTGCAAGACTAACTACTTTAGGTAGCTAGAAGGGATCTAGCAAGTTCGAATCCCAATGCTGAGATTCGAAAAGCCCAAACGCTTTTTGGAGAAGCCGTCGAGAAAGAAATTGGAACAAAGGCATCTGGGTGTCCGCAGGTCAGACGAGCCGGTGCAGCGAATTGCGGAACTTGACCTGCAGCCGAGTCTCTGGGCATCCAATCGGCAGGCCAATGTCCGAGAAATGAGACCAAGTGAATCGGGATGATCTTCTAGAAAAACGTTGATGAACAGGGCTCCAAGCCCTGCAGCCACATTTGATCGATCATTGAGGCCGCTCCATCCAGATAGTTATGCCTCAAAATCTGCAGGGCAAGAGTCACAATAGCTGTCTGGAGACCTTGATTGCATTCACGTAGTTGACTTCTTAAAATAACAAGGGATGTTTCCCAGTCTTCAGGTTCTTACCATGAAATCTGTGCTGCCCTCTGCCTCACCTGGCACCACGTCACCTGCAGGAGTGATTGATTGTTCTCACAGTGCCATTCCATTCAGTGACAGAGAGTGAGTGTCTTTTTGTAGTGAGAAAGATAATCAAGGAATCAACAATTTGCCGTTGAGCTTAGTTAATGAGGTTAAAACAACCCGAGACTAGTCTCTAGCATCCCGTTCACCCATTCGATGATTCAATCGCCACTATTTCGAGTCAACGAGCACGAGTTTGATAGGATCTTATGAGAACCTCGTCACCCTGAACGCCCCTAGTCATGAGTGTGTTTCCGCCATACGGAGCAGGAGTCCGCCTCTTCTACCCTGCCAGTCTCAATGCTGGGTCCCCGTGAGCCACACTATACTGAACATTTACGTATCACCTGGAGGAATACAATTCCGCAAATCGCTATACGCTGAACTACTCTCTATATACTGGACCGTACGCCAGGGGCCATGAAAGGAGAAGCACAAAAAGAAAGGAACATAGCAAGTGTGCCAAAAGACAAACAAATCATTGAAGGAGAGTATAAGGTGCTATACACGGAATGTCATCGGCGTTATGTAAAATCTGAAGGAGAGAAAGTTGCACCGACCAAAAGCAAAATCTGAATCTCGCAGAAGCATGCTGTACACATACAATGAAAAGGAAGATGCCCGTGTTTTTTTTTTCTTGGAACGCCCCTAGCATATGAGCACACCGACAAACAGTAAGAAACACAACAAAAGGGATCTGTAGGGAACGCTCAGCTCGGTGGTACAACAAGGAAAATGATATCAAATCCAAATCGATTTAGCTTGACTGCCATCAAGCGATGGTTTTCAGGCGGAATATTTTATAGATGCCATGGCGATGGTCACAGCCCAAACTTATTTGGCGGTAAGTCGACCTCTATTTCTTAGTTTGGCGGCGATTGGACTTCCGCCTCTCGACAACTTGTTGTAGTGTCTCCAACCGTTGTTGCGTCACGCGAATGGCATCTGCAATTTCCCGCTCCGACATTCGTTCATCTCGCAGCCTGTTTTCGGCATCACGATGAGCTTGTTTCGAGTAGCTTCTGTCGGTGTCTGCCACGGGTATGACGAGATTTTCCATTCCAACACGGTCTTCTAACCAATCCCATAATTCGCTCTCTTCCTTTGCCCACAACTCATCGTAAGCGAGAAGCCTTTCAGGGATGGAGAGATGATGTAAAGGGATCCCACGGGACCTTGTTCGAGGGGCCACCGTCCCCCTCCCGATGTCTTCCCAAGAACGGAACCAAGTCATAAATAGCAAACTGCAAAGTACGACTATAGCGACATTCGGACTCCAGAATGGCGAGAAGATGTCCGTAATTGGAGAAAGAGGGCCTCGCAACGGTTCTAATAAGCCCCAGCTGGCAGCTTTGTCACGTACAGACTTTGAAGACTCGCCATCGTTGGAACCAGTTTCCGAGATGACTGTTTTTGCGCGTCTGATCTTGCCTTTGACGGCACCTTTGGAAGTCACCTTGCGCGTTTTGGGGGCAATTCCAGCTTTCACAGCTTTAATTAGATTGGATCCGTAGCCGAGTTGTCCGTCGTTGGCACCTTTCTCTATGGGACCTGCAAGAAGAACATGTTAGAGCCGGGGGGGAGGGATAAAAACGACTCGAGACACGTACCTTTAATCCAGCTCTTCCCCGTCCATTCCACATTACAGGACATAAAGAACCGGGTGGAATTCCCCGGGGCCCAGGTGAGAAGATATTTCGTCTTGACAGAGAACACATTGCCGCTCGGAACGTCTGGGGTCTGTGTTGTTAGAGTCACTAGCACCGCTTTCTCTAAATCCAAAACATCCAATTGCTCCACGGTGATGCATTTCGTTTGCTTTGGGCCAATAGTAGAGTTCAACGGCTTGATATATGTATATGATCGGGTCTTATTCTCCTCGGTAAGGCCCGTTTTGTCCTCCTCGAATTGTAGGTCTGTTACTTTCTCGTATTCAACAAGGAATTTGGAAACAAAGGAGCTGGATGCTGCTCCAAAGATAAGAGAATAAACCTGCCCCAACGGAGCAGGAATAACTTCGTCTTTGACAACTTTGTCATAACGGCCCGAGGGATCAGTAAATTCAGTAGGGGCATGGCTTCTCGGACCAGGAAATTGCGCCGTGCCATCTGGCAGACCCTTTGATTTATCAAGGCCTTTAGATTCGTCCGCTGCGCCAACAGAAATTGCTTGAGAAGAGGCAGTCGCAGATACTGGCATTGTCGACGATTTCCGAATAAATCGTTTCCCCGATTCAGAAAGGTCGCTAGCAACGGTGCTGTCGGCCGCTTCCGCATTGCTACCCGCGCCGCCTTCTTCGTCTTCATCATAAACCTCTTCTTCGTCGTCAGACATCGATACATCTTCATCATCGCTGAGCTCTGCTTTTTCGGTTTTATCCCCGGTTCCCTGTTCAATTTGTGCGCCATTGACCGAACTTTTGAGAGTTGGATGGTTTATTTTCCAAATATTCACCATGAGATCATACGTCGAGTCCCTGCTGAGCAAGCTGCGGAAAGTGTGACGTGCATGGAGCGTTTGGATAGCAATAGCATTCGGGAACACCATCGCCGTAGACTCCTTTTCAATGGCCACTATTTCATCAAACCCAATCACCAAGGTAGTAACCCACCCGAGGATGTTGCTAGAAAAGCAAATATGGCCCTCTGATATGTAGATGCGACCGGCCAAAATGATCTCTCTTTGAAGCGCACAGCTATAGTCCTCAATGAGATAGTCATCTTCCGGGACACTCCTAAATAGCTGATGGAAGTCTCGGTTTCTCTTCTTGCTAGCCACAGCAAAACCAGTCAGCCGAGGAACACTCAAATTAATGCCTGGAACACCCAGAGCCGCTCCAATAGCTCCAATGGTGGTAGCAGTGGCTGTGGATGAGCCCCGCTTCCTGCGGATACCACGGCGGCTATGTAAGCTCCCACTGCGCTTGACGTGTTGAGCAATGTCTCCCTCAGCGATACTTGCTGTAGGGGGCGTCCGCTCACCGCCACTACTCCTACCGAAACCAGAAAAAGGAGCACTGGGTCGCCCATCTGGCGGTTGGTTTTCATTTGTGGAACCCGGTAAACCCGCACTTTGAGGGGGGCGTTCGTACGCCATAGATACCGCGCGTGCTGCCCTTAGGTCTTCGATTCTCGAGGCTAGTTCATCCCGTTGAGAGACTGTACTTCTCCGCGAGGGTCCAACGTAATCAGACTTTGTGAATACAACACCGTCTGGTGTGGTTACCACTCCGCCCGCTGATGCATCTATGCCAAGGTGGCTAAAGTCCAAATCTCCCGTTCCCATAGTATCGATCGCTAGTTCTTTCTTCTGTTCCAGCGTGTTATCTTGACTTGACGACGACTCAGATTCATTTTCTGCTGGGCTCGGCTTCATATGCTGCTCCGTATCGACAGAATCCGTGCCATTCCGAGTCCGTCCTTGATTCAGGCCAATGGAAAGAGTTGATGCGGCATTTTGCGCAGCTGAAAACATTGTAGAAAAAAACCCACCCCCAACCAGGTTGCTTGGAGCATGTCGAGACGCAGAAACCTTGTTTTCGTCTATGGGCGTCGGGGGTACGGTTATTGAATTCGAGAGTTTACTCGGGTTATGAGCAGCCGATGCCGACCGTACACGGCGGTGAGATATCATATTACCGGAAGGACTGAGAACAGCATTTTCGGGGAGCTTTGAAGAGCTCGTCATTGACTCGGGGGAATCTACCATTCTAGTATCAAAATCGCGTGGCTTGGGGTGTGTTGGAGTGGGAGGAGTAACAGTTGTGGTTACAGGAGGAGGCCTTGCAATAGACGGTGGCGTTTTCGGCGTGGTATCAATCGGCGGAAGCTGACGATGGGGTTTCGGCGTATCGCCATCTGGGAATTTGGGAGGGGGTAGAATTAGCGGGATATCCTCCAGGCCCTTTTTGCTTTTCTTGGACGAGAAACTTGTCTTCCTGACCGCAGAATCTAGGAACCCTTTCCCGCCCTTGCTTCCGGACGATTTAGTCGATTCCCTATCTGGGCTAGAGTTGGAGCTTCTGTTCGAAGACCGCGGATTAAACGCGTCTCTCAGCTTCCGGCCTGCCGCTGAGCCCATGCTTTCCTTTGCCGACGGGTCATGCGCGGGAGCTCCGATCGTGGACGAACGTAGTATATTCAACTTGTCTAAAGCTGAGTCGTGCGCGCTTTGGCTTCTTTCATCGATGGATGGGTTTGATATCGTGATAAGCGGAGATCTTCCCCATTCGTTATCGTGGTTACTATGAGAGTGGTGGGAAGGGTGGCTAAAGTATTTCCGCAAATGTCAGGCAAAAAGCGTTGCAATAGCTGGTGGCACATACCACCAACGTAGGCTAATAGCGCAGAAAGAAAGCTGCATACCTTTCAGATTCTGAATCATCGGTCCCATGGTTGCTTCCGGGGTCGGTCATCGATCTGCGGCGTTGCTCATTCACCTCCAGTGTTGGCAGCGAAACCCTCGATTCCCCTAAATTCTCGCTTGAATTGGCCAGGCCGTCACTGTTGAGAGCCTTTGCCTTCTTCCGATGCCTTCTTTTCGCGCCAGGTATGAGTTTTGCCAGGCCGGTCGGCGCCGCATTGCTGCCATGACTCGTGGCGGGCCGGATGTCGAGGGACGGGGTCCTTGAGGATTGATCCGAAGGATACGAATGGTCTGCTTCGTTCAGGGCGGTCCGACTCCGCTTTGGCCCGGGGAAGATCTTGAGGCCATTGGGAGAGGCGGCGGAAGGGGATTCACTCGCATTGTTCTCCATTAATCAGAAGAGGGAGCAGGATGAAAGGGAAGACATGGAAGCCCCAATGGCCTCTGCGCAATCCTTCATCAATCTGGGGGTTTAATAGAGGGTAAAAGTGGTTAGAGTGCTCGTCATCACTGAATGGTTGCTTGAGACAGTTGATCTGATGAGGGCAACAGAGTGGCTGAGGAGGTTGGTCTCAAGTGATGAACCAAGGTCCAAGGTCCAACGACTAACTAGTGAGGTATAAACCATGTAGCAACGTTGAGACAGCCAACTCGATATAAATACGTAACTACTCCGTGATGAACTCGTGGAAGTCTACTGGCATGCCGATTTACTCCATTTTGGCCGTTTTGATCCCACCCCGCACATGATGTCTGATGCCTGCGTGGTAAAAGCAAGCCCCATCCCTGGACCTGTAGTTAGATATCAGCTAACTGATTATTAAAGTGTGCACCATCTCTGAGAAACCTGCCTCGTTGCTTTCGAGATTTACCTGTCGGCGTACCAGCTCGTCGTGCTCTCGTCCACGTACGCGCATCAATATATTCAGGCCTGCAGCTTCAAGGTTCGCAGCCAACTGCCGATTCGGTTTCTGACAGCCGATCCGGTGCCTGCAAATCAATGCTGAGCCGTGTTCTTTATCACCATCGCTCTGTCATTGTAATTATAGAGCTTACGCCATTCGACCACAAAACCAGCGATATCCATCATACTGGGAACTCACTGTATGCATCTGCAATGTATCCTCTCATTGTTAACACTTTTGATGATTCAGTTGGTTCTCAATAAGGCTGGCTGAAAGAATACGGTTTGGACAAAGAATGGGATAGTTATGGATCCTGCCGTTCAAAAATAAAAGAGAATACTAGGTAGGTGACTAGTTCATTATGTACGCTACCATCCTGCGCATGATCCAAATCAATGGAGCCCAATCAATATCAAAACACACAGCCCGAGCAAGTTTTACGCCTTTGGCCTCGAGCCAAACACGCATCGGGACTTCCTTCCCCACCAGTCATTGGCAAGAGTTGTCCACCAGCGGTTGGTGTCAAGCAACGCCTCCTTCGTCAACCACATCCGACAATGGGCAGGCTCGTACACATATTGCCGAGGCACGCGGTCCTTATCATCGGGGTACACTGCGTTACGGTAGTTGACGCGACCTCCGTGGCCGCCATCTAACAAGCGTTCCAGCACATACTTTCCTTTGCTGATCATCTTGCCAAGCTGGGTGTTCTTCAACTTTTGTTGCTCTTCGGGCGTGGAGTACTCCGCGAAGACACGCTGGGCTGAGTCCCAGAGCTCTCTGAAAGTGAGGACCTGGGTGCCTTTAACACCGCCCACCGCCTGCATGGGACCGAATCGGCCGTGGCCACCAGTCGCGATGGATTTTACTCCGTTGCGATTCAACAAATCCGCAAAGATTGCACAGGTGGATGCACAAATGCCGTCAGTCACCAAAACCATATTCTCAGTCTTGAAGGCCTGAGGCGCAACGTCACTGCGGTTTCCGTAGCCGGAAACAATGAGACCACCAGCCTTCAGCGACATTTCCTCATTATGGAAATCCCAGTAGGCAAGGTTAGCGAACTTGAACCTTCCGACCTTTTCTGGTCCGAAGTAATCAGCCCAGGAGTCGAACTTTTTGCCGTCAACATCCACATAAGAGTTGATATCGAAGATATCGTTTCGCTCCCGTTCGGCTGCAGGGGCTTTGGGATCACTTGGGTTGTCGAGGAGACGGTTGACCTTTGTACCAATGATATCGAACTGTTCAATTGCCCGGAGATTGAAAGGGGTTTCGATTTTCCCTTCTGGAAGCAGCTGTATACCGTTAGAAGATTCCTTCCTGGGTAAAACCGGTCAAAACCTACCTGCTTAAATGTATCGTAACCTAGGAAAATCGTGCCACCTCTGTTGCCGCTCACATCAATGATCAATTTCTCCTTCTTAGCTTCTCTGCAGTCCGCCAAGAACTTCGTCACTGTATCACTGTATTCCCACAATGGGTCGGCATTAAGTGCGAAGCCAACAAAATTTCGGAGGTAAAGTACAGCAACGTTGGATCGTTCACCCTTGAGGAAATATCCAGCCACAGCGCCATCTGTTGACTCACGAATCGGCTCTAGATCAGGGTTAGAGCGCGGGGCCACCACGGCGGTGGTGGATTCGAATCCCGGATCTGCTGTCATGAAAGGCGAATGCTTTTCACTAGAACTTGAAAGTGATGCAGCTGACACCGAAGGGGTGCAGAACTTTTCATAAAATGACTTGCCATCCGTAACCCCGGTAAAGTTAGCAGAGGACCTGGCAAAATTGTCATATTCCATCGTAGTTCTGTTCTCGAATCTGACGGACGTCTTTGCGCCTGTGAGAACGGCACGGCTTGTCAAGAAGGAGCCGAGACCGCTAACTCTTGTGCGTGGGAGGGTATAAAGAACGCCGTTAAAGAGGGCATCTGGGTCCTGGAAAGATCCCTTGAAAGAGAATTCGGTCAGCCATTTTGCTGCGTTTTCGCCATCAATTGTTCGGATAGCCGATGGCTTCTTCGCACGACCTTGCAGGTCATCTTCTAACACATCAGCAAAATGTCAAATGATCAAAAGAGAACCAGAATAAGCCTTACATAGCGAGTAAACTTTGGGGAAGCTTCTGCCATTTTCCGAAATGGATACAAGTGGACCAAGTTCGGACCTCCTGAACTCGAAAGTGGTGATAAGATCCAGTCCAAGATTGAAATGGCCATCATGCACCGATCTGACCAGAGTATCCAAGTCTAATTGGAATTCAAGTTCACCTTTATAGCCGTTGCGGGCGGCTTTATGGCGAATCCTTCTAAGACCGCCGTCGAGATCGGTTGGTGGCAAAAGGTATCCCCGTGGTGGGTTCCTCACATAGTCTTTGGTTGTTTGCCAGTCCCAGAAATAGCCCAATCCGTCAATCAATTCCAGTGCATCCTTCGATTTGAATGGAACTGAAGCCAGACAGGCCTGAGCAAGCCCGGCAGAGACAGTGAAATTTGGAGCTATCAACCGGTTAGCAGGTGCTTTTGTGAATGGCAATCGCCGAGGCTTCATAGAGCGCAAGGTAGCCTACCCTCCGGGTTTTCTTGCCATTGCTTCTGTTGGGCAGCAGCCACTTGAGCACAGGGTTCCTGGGAGGGAGATGCAAGGCCCAAAGAAACTTGAGAAAGCAAAAGGCCAAAGAAGGCCTGGTTGAAGCGCGTCATGGTGGGCGTTTCAGCTCTAGTAAGAACTCAGGTCGAAAGGCCGGACAGCCGTCCTACACACGCCCCGTGTGTGGATTCGGGAGACAGAGAGACAATTGTCTTATCGGAGATAAGAAAATTTGCAGTTCCTGCAGAGAAGCGGGAGAATCGGCTTCCTTTTAAATAAGCACAGCGCCGCGCTGTCAAGCTTCTCCTTCCGGCTGGGCTAACATGGTTTTATTGTCGCGGGAAAGAATCACTTCCTTTCAAAACCTCACATAGCGCGGTCTAACGTTGCATAGGAATGTGCAGGCTTCCGGAGTGCGGGGATTTTTCATCCAGAAATTTCCCGCGGGGACGAGTGACAATTCCAGTTGCATCGCAGAAAGTGCAGGGGACAACTTATCATCCATTTGCTCTCGCACCAGAATCGATGGGCTCGCATCTCCATTTTGATATTGTATCGAGCTTTCACGCTCTCGCTTGTTAGAATCAGACGACGAGCCCCAAAAATTGTCGACCGTTGGTCAATAATAGTGCCAGTTGAGCCGCTGGAATCGAGAATAATAGAAAATTCCGAGAATTCGTAAGGATTTCACCTTTCCCGTTCCAGTGGCATCCCACGGTACCGCTGAACAAGGAGATTGGCACTAAAAGAAGTGCAATGAGAATCGGCTGTTTGTCTTCCATACCCCGTATCCTGACTGGGAATGCCCCTGCCGGTGATCCTGGCCTGAGGACCCTCGGGGTTTACCCCTGAATCCGCTGATCACCAGTCCGACGTAAATCGACCATTCTCGATCACAGTGAGCTGAAAGGAACGCCTGGTAATGTAGCATTGACGTGGTTGCAAACTGCCAGGGCCAGGACTCACATGCACCAGCTACACGAAGGAGTAGGATGCTTTGATAAAGAGAAGCTTCATCACGAAAGAGCCCCGGCAGGGTTCTGCAAGCGAAGCGGTTATCGGCTCAGAGCGTCATGGGCGGTCCCTTGCAGAAAGTTGGGGGTTCATCTCAGCACATTGACAAGGCCAGAACGGATAACCACCCGGGTGCCATCCTCAATACCTCAAGAGTTCGAAGCCACTCAGAAGGAATATGTTATATCTTCAAAAATCAACGAGTCTGTCTGGGTTGCCGTGTTGCCAAATGGTTGACGTTGGCAGGGATGAAGCTGAGGGTCTGTTTGCACTGTTTGAACTGTGTGGCGTCACTCTATATAATAATAAATCGCTGAGACTGATTATCATTATTCTATTTACAGCATAATACGGAGGAGTATCTGTAGAATTTGCCCGACTTTGTCTTCGACAGCGCCAGACGTTGTTCTAGGGCACAAACATCTTGCATTTTGCATGTCCGGAGGCTATTAACGAGTTCATCAACCGAACGCCCGATGCGGGTTCCGGGGTGTTTCCTAAGGGTTCAAAGGGTTAGGTACCCTTTGGAGGGTGCTCCTGACGATTTTCAGTTGGACTTGGTCGGGTTACGCATCTGATTCTTCGGAATAATGGTGTAGGGGTACTGGGCCGACGGCATTGTCTCTTCGGGGTAGGAGTCTCAACTTCGATTGCCTCGCCCGGTTCCTCAGTGTCAAATTCTTCGTCCGCTGTTTGCGAGATACTTCCTCCGTACGAGTACACCAATCCGAGGTGTCAGCCATCCATCAATCCGTGCTATTCTTGCTCCTTCAACTGAATATATAACCATTCAGGAATCCTAGCGCTGAATTGAAGCGGCATTTCTGAACCCAGGACACCATCTTCTCGCTTCCATAACCTCCCTTAGCACCGCCCGCAGTGAGAAGGAAACAAGATGAGTAAAATTGTTCCTGAGGCTTTCTGCAGCCAGAGCTAAAGTGAGTATTTCTAACATTTGAGGAATTTTCATAGACTTTTCTCTCTTCATCTTCGATACTGCGAGTAATTTTGGTATTGGCGCCGTTTTTCTGGCTGCACGCAACCTGTTTGCTTGATATAGGTTTTTGTCTTGTTGGCACTGTCGAAGCTCAACAGGTCTAGTTCGCAACGGGCTTTATAATAAGCGCAGCGAGAAAGCCTTATTAACGTGCGTCACTTTGAGTCTGTAAGATTTTCGGAGGCTTCGATAGTGTGTAGTTTTCATTTCGCTTGGACTTCTTTGCGAGCTCGTGTACAAGGTAGGTAGATAGCGTGAATATTTGGTTAGTGAGAGCAGCGACATTGGTCTCTCTACCCCATTTCCCGTTTCGTGGTTTCCATGGCTTCCGCGCTGGCATGCGAGTTCAGCGTCCGTAACAAAGGGTGAACAAACGTAATCGCTCGGGGAGCCGAGCCACCCAGTTTTCGATCCGAGAGGAATGTGGAGCATTCATTAGTTATAGGAGTCAATTCCTGCTCATAGAAGCAAAGACTATTTCCTCTTGTGTTTGGCTCATCAGCATAGCAGTCCGTCCTTTTCCTAGAAAGGGAAATATCAATGCTCCGCTTCAGATCCAATAGCCATACAGCATTCCAGCAAAGCAATACACCGGAGTTCAATCCCATTCTAAAAGGGCAAAATTAGACAAGCAGGAAAAAAAAATAAAAAGGGAATTTCTTACGCACTCACTCGATCAGCTTTGCAGAAGTTATTCAGTTTCCTTATATTGTACTGATTGATTGGAACTCATCAATGGTCCAGCCTGACCTGAGTTGATAGTCAACAGCAAGGATCGCAAAATTCGAGCTTGTAACGTCACCGAGAACAGAATTAGTTGCTAGAGTAAGGATGTTGCTTGGAGAAGCTGTAATAGTGAGAGAAAATGGTATTTCTTGTACTTCATTTCGGTGTCGCTTGGTGAGCAGAAGCTGAATTCGGAACAAGTCATAAGGCATGATTTGCCTTTAAAAACACAATAAATGATTTAGTAAAAGAAAGAGACAGGCGATATGTTTTGTAGGTCCAGGACGTTACTCCATCCTAGGCCTTAAAGCGTGTGAGCTACTGACAAGCTCCTTAATGGTAAAGGATGTCATGTAGTGGAGACTTGAGAAAAAGACAAAGACGCAAGGTATTTCATGTGAGGATATATTCATAGATGAGTAGATCTCTCTCTAACCTCAGCAGTTTCGGCTTACTGACATTGAGGAGGGTATAAAGCAATAAATCAAAATGAAACAAAGGGAATTATTTCCATATGAATGACCGCCATACTTCTTCACTTGAAGCTCAGGTTCAATTCGATTTTTATGACTTTCCCGTATTATTTCCCCAGAACAAGTCCTAAATTCCTATTTTTCCGCGATTAGCAAAAAGTTCAAGAAGTGCTACCATTTTTCCCATTTCTTTTCCAACCCCCTTTTCCGCCCATGACCTAGAGGAAACGAAAGTTGAACTACAAGACGACATCTGAAAGTAGTGGAAAGCCCGGTGACTACTCCATTTAGGAACAGTAATTGGCAGGGAAACTGCCCTTTACACCCCGGAGTTCGCCTTCCCACCAGTCATCAGTGCTCTCGGTCTTCTTGATAACCCGGATACGGTCACCTTCCCTAAACACAAGATCACCTGCTCCCTGGCCATCAAAATCATAGAGTGCAGTGACAAAACGGGCGTAGGATGAGCCCGACCGTGGGGGCGGGGGCGGTGGAGGCTTCTTCTTCGCCACAGCTGCAGCCATTGAAGCCATTGCGGCCGAGGGCGCAGAAGTATAGATTTGGGGGGTTCGCGAAACTGGATGTGTATAATTTTGCTGCGGAGGGGTATAGTAGGCGGAATGGTCCGTCGATTCAGACGGAGTTGGGCTTATTCTTGGGGGCGAATATTGGCTGATAGTGGTTGTTGTCGTTAAATTTCCTGCTGGCGCAGTATGGAAGCCATTTATGCGCGGTCGGGTATCTGTTGGAACGTTCGGAGGTGCATGCATTGTGCGAACCGGGGAGAGAGATGGTTTACGGATAGTAGGAGCGGCACCGCCATGGCGCGCACTTAGCCCGTTCGATATCACGCCGTTTCTATGCTCATCCGAGATTCTGGGCTGCCGTCCGGGTTTAGTGTGTGACAAACAGGCAATTGATTCCGCCTCCCTTTGCGTGGGGAGGAAATCCCGCTCCCAGGTTTGGATCACTACATCCATGGCAGGCGGTGGAGATGGGAAATTTTGCTCCGAGGAATAGTTGTGGAGTGACGTGTAGTATAGGGCGAGTAGAGTATTCTGGATTTCAATTTGAGCGGAGAGGATGTGTGGGAGTAGGGAAAATGTGGCAGCTATAAGGCCGGGTAAATGAGAACGAATATGATCATCTGCCGCTTGATATTCCTACACTATAGTTAATCGGGCTATCCAACAACAGGAGAAGATGCGCACCTCTTTCGCTTTGTTCAGGTCTAGTTCAGCTTTAGCGAGAGCCGAATTCTCCCTATCCGACCGTTTCGATTTCTTCCGTGCTGCGTCAACTCTACTTTGGTAGCGTTCATAATCAAGCTAGATACTCATAAGAGTTAGCTTTCTCGCGACTGCTTTCCAAATACATTCTATGGTCAAAGAGGAGAGGCAATTGATCAAGCAGAATCTCAGGGAAGCTTGATATGAGCCCGTGGCACATACAAAGTCCCCCAATGCTGGCTATCAAAAAACAGGGATACCCTAACCTTTTTGTCTTCTCTCTTTTTCATCACTTTCTTCATCGGTTGTAGATAATCCTTCGCCTCCATCGCGGGCTTGATCATTCGAGTATCCACGTTTTGTATTTCCTCCAAGAGATCAGTCCGTAGGGATTCATATTCCTCCGCGAGTCGAGCAGTCCTCGCCAAAGTAGCCTCGGGGGTTATGGCGGGTGGATGGGCAGTAGGTTCCGATGAGCCAACAATTGGCTGATAGAGCGTTTCAAATTCTTGAAGTAGCCTCGCTTGGTAGGTGAGGATGGATGACCATGCGTCTCTCCATGCTTTACTTGAGTCGATGATCTAGGTGTGGACGAAACGTGAGATGTTAGCCCACCGCTCAGAACAAGCACAGCAACAGCACACTTCTCGCGCGTTCGTACCTTGGTCAGGAGCTTATCAGCGTTGTCAAAGTCTTTGAGAAGCACCGACACCTGGCTTTCATCAGCGGACCTCTTCATCAACTTTCCAAACTGCCTGTGCATGGTCAACATGATGACAACAGCTTATCCGGGGGGTAGCCCAGGTCTCGACGGTCTCCGCGCTAGCTTCAATTGTGAGATGGGCTCTCGCCAGCTGTGGGGAGAGAGGCTGGCTTTCGAGTCCAGGAGAGGCGAAGAATCGAACGACGACACGCGCGGAAGCAAAGGACGAGTCAAGACGGCACAACAAGACGATGTGGGACAGAATTGCGAGCAAAGTGCGTCACCGTGACGGCGATCCCTGCTCGGCCTTGGGCGTTTCACTTCTCCTGTAAGGCGTGGTGGTGGGACGCAAATTCCCAAGTGCACGTCGAGATGGCAATTGTCTGCTCCGCCTGGACTTGTAGTTAAGTAGTTGGAAGAAGCCTGGCCTTTTCTGGACGCGCACCCAACACGGCTTGATGTCTCGAACGTCAAGTTGGTTTACATTAATATGTCTATTAATTGGGCCGCAAGTCGAGCTTGTTACGCATCTGCATCCCAAGCTTGCGTAAGTGTGGCCGACCGCCAACCAGCTCCTGGCACTGAGCCCACGCGAGGAAGATGCTCCCGGCTTGCACAGGGTTGGAGATCAGAGATTGAAACGGCATTTTCAAGAGTAACATAAACTATTAATGAGTAGTTAACCAACAACTCCGTCCACCCAAGCTATTTGGCGGACGCGGATCCAACCACCACATCCCTGACCATATGTCCCACCCTTCGCCGTCTGGACAAACTACGGAGTAAAAATACAGCTTCAACAGCAAACGGCTTTCGTCAATGAGAAAGACATCCTCAGCGATGCGTCGTTTGTGACGCCAATTGATGAATTATATATCAACAATCAGAGTAAAAGATTGCCAATCAGTCCGCGACACAACAATGAGCACCAAGAACCAACACCCAAGTCGCTCCTCTGTTTCAAACCAAGATCTTTGCTTCTGTGTCTGAGAGCAATTGCGGGAAAGCCGCCCATTATTTCTCCGTCCGCAGCACATTTATCCATCCCTGGTTTATATATTAGTCCGATGGACGGTGTTGCTGACTAAGCACTTTCGACGCGTTGAGTCGCGGTCGTCCATAGAAAACAACAGCCGACGACAAGTGTCAGTCTGACGACCTGGGGCTTTGATTCCCCCAACATTCGTTTTCTCGACTGTGGAAAACTATGGACTCTGGCACCTCATTCCGGGCCGCAACCTCCGTCGCCGTTCTGCCAAGCCAAAGCACCGCTCCCGTCATCAAATTCCAATGCCTGTTCACCTACGATCTGAAACGCAAGGCGAAGCGGTGGCAGGATGGATTCCTCCGCTTTCATACATTCAATCGGCGGGTGATGGTCTATGGCACATCCGGTGACTTTGTGGGGGATTTGCATATGCGGGAGAGCAATACCGTTCAGGATGGGGACCAGCTAGAGCTAGAGCGGGGTGTTCTAGTGGATGTGGGAGAACGCTTAGAGAAGACGGAGACTGATCTGTCCGAGCTATTGGATAAGAGAAAATCGAACTTGGCAGCGTCTCCCGCGAGGAGAGCATTTCTACAAACCCCGGCCCCTTCACTGATGACGGCTAAATCCAAGTCGTTGAACGAATTGCTAGGGAAGAATCGTACCCCGATAGGGAAAGCAGCGCTGCCAACTAAGTCACCTTTTGATATACGGCATGAAACCGGCCGAGATACCACTGGACATACTCCGGGCCGGCCCTCCAAAAGAAGAAAACTGTCTCCTCCAGCAGAGATAGAACAGGAGAACGATAGACCCCGTGCCAGACCAAAGCACGCAGTAGCCACGGAGGATCCCAATGACGTATCCCTGAGCTTTCAACCGGCTAGTGCGTTGAAGATAACTCCATTGAACCGTGCAGAGTCTGGCCGCAAATCAAGGAAAACTGTCGAGAGCAATCAAAAGTCAATCTCGGCCATGCTTCAGGGGGTTCAAGGAGCAATGGCCTTTCCGTCTCCAGTAGAGAATCCACGTAAAAAGCTCATGTACCTGGAATTAACCAAGCAAACGAGAGAGGGGAAACCGTCTCATCGAAATGCAGCCGCTGGCGGTTCCAAGGGTATTGCCCCTCGCAATGGAGTCGAACCCCTTGAGGCAAACAGTAGGATATCAAGAGGGCTCTCAAGGCCCCTGGATGAGAAGCCAACGGCTCTAAATCCGAT